GCCGGTTTGCACCTATTCTGGAGAACCGGTTGTTAACTTTCTAAACAGTTCGCAGAACCGGTTGTTGGAAGAAATCTCCTTTTGTTCCCCCTCCCACACACACTTTACAGGGTTAATCCTGCAAGGAAGGAAACCTTCTGGTGTTGTTTCTAGCCTAATCTTTATTGCTCTGCTTACAGAAACTGCCTCGCCGGTTAACCCTTATTACATTGTAACAGCTAAGGCAAAGCACCCATTGACCTGCGTGATGATGAGTTGGCCACGTCCACAAAGACACATGACCACTGAGCCACTCCTACCCAGCTGGTCATTACGGAGGAGAATTGGTTGTTAAATTATTTGAATCTCACCTCTGCCTACAAGGTTAGCTAAGACCAATAGAATACATGCCCTTGCCACAGGAACAGGAAGCTCAAGGGCAAGGCCCAAGAGAGGGTATAAATAACCCTCTCTCTCAACTCCATGTGATCAGATGCACCAGGACCATGTGTTTGATGGTTCTGCTCCACCATTAAACCATCTTTCCAATCAGCCTCCATGTTTCCAGTGTCTTTCTCCCCACTTGGAACGGAACCAGATGGATATTTCTCCCAGCAAGGCTAAGCCACAAACCATGGCGTTACAAAGCCCACTAGACTATATCTGACCAAAAGAAAACTTTAAAAACTCTCATATCATGTCATAATGTATACAGTATCTGAGATAGGCAGCTATAGAAATTCAACAAATACATTTGATCCCGTAAGCCTTCTACAATTCTACACAAGAGGGCAGCAATGGTCTTTAGAAAGTCAGATAGTAATTTAGTTCTCATAGAGACAGACACAGAGAAAGGGAGAGAGGGAGGGGGGGCAAAATAATGGAATTTGAATGGAAATCTGTCAATATTCCAACAATCACAGTATAGGTAGTCCTCAAGTTACGACCACAATGGGAGTGACCCAAATTTGTGTTGTTAAGTGAGACATTTGTTAAGTGAGATCTTCTCCATTTAATGACCTTTCTTGCCACAGTTGTTAAGTGAATCACTGCAGTTCATATGTAACTAACATGGTTCTTAAGTGAATCACGTTGGCATCTTAGATCAGCTACAAACGTTCAACTTATCAACGTCTTCTTCTTCTTCATTTAATGACCCCATAATCCTTTGCGGAGTGGAGTCTGGGCAACTGAATGGAGCTCAGTGTTTACTGGCCAGATGCCCTTCCTGTTGCCAATATGGAGTTTTGTTCAGCAGATATATTCTCTGTGTCCCCAGAGAGAGAAATATCTTAAAAATATGCTTTCTAACATTTATCCAAAGTTGACGTAAGATTTCATCACGTTCTGCTTTCCAACATTTATTTTACACGGGAGAGCAGGTAGGAGAGGAGCAGCTCAAACATTAGGCCACCGCACCACTCCAAGCGTTCAACTTATCCTGATGTTTGATTTAGCACAGAGCACAATCTTCAGACCAGCTTCGCACATCAAGCTGAGGACTCAGTCTTGGCGTGTTTGACTCCTCCCTCCTTCCCCCTACTTTCAGATTACATGTGAATGCAGCACGAGAGTCATCCCCACCGCCCTTCCACAGACACCTCCCAAGAGATCCCTCCTTCCCACTGTCTTACGTCGAGTACTTCCGATGGGATGGAATGAGGTGACATTGGTGATTCCGTGAGGGTAAATGTTGTAGGGCCGGCTGGCCAAATTCTTAAACACAATCTGAAACGAGACAGTTTGATATTCCATTCAATCTCTTTGAAGTATTCCAGATGTGGAACAATAAGATAAAGGTAAAGGTTCCCCCGCACTGGCGTGCTAGTCGTCCTCGACTCTAGGGGGCGGTGCTCATCTCCATTTCAAAGCCGAAGTGCCAGCGCTGTCCAAAGACATCTCCGTGGTCATGTGGCCGGTATGACTCAACACCAAAAGCTCATGGAACACTGTTACCTCCCCACCAAAGGTGGTTCCTATTTTTCTTCTTGCATTTTTACGTGCTTTCGAACTGCTAGGTTGGCAGAAGCTGGGACAAGTAACGGGAGCTCACTCCGTTATGCGGCGCTAGGGATTCAAACCGCTGAACTGCCGACCTTTCTGGTCGACAAGCTCAGTGTTTTAGTCACTGAGCCACAGTGTCCCTTATGTGGAACAATATTATGTATCAAATCTACCAAAACAGGGAAAAATGCAAGAA